ATGACATGCTTCTTAGAGAACAAAATGGGCCATGATAATGTGAGGGGGAACATGTAAGAAGGGATGTAATGGTTAGAATTAAAATGACGTCTGACAATTACTTTCAATTTGAACCGAGGTGAAGAAAATCAGAATTACAATACTCTTGTGATTAAATTTTGATGAGATGAAAATGTCATCATTGTTTGATGAGAATTTTTTATTAGAGTTCAAAGAATATGAATGATTTAACCACAATGTACCAACACCACAGGGCTGAATAATCTGTATCAGTTTTTCTCCACTCTTCCTTACTGCGGGTCACCAGAGAAATCTCAGCTGCTGTCATTCTTCCTTGTTTCTGCAACTGCTTCCATGAGATTGGCTTTTAAAACAACAAGATAAAGCTTACATCCTTTGTGATAAGTTTTGACGTTGAAATCCTGGAGTAGGTTAATGTGGTGAATCATTTCTAGAAGCCATGTGCTGAGATTTAGGCTTCTAAGTTTTCGTTTTCAAAGAAATACATTTTGGAGGCTAGATTTCTTGAGGGAAATGGGGGAGATCCTGCTTTCATCCTGCGTTCCTTGCTGAAAATCAAGATGCACTTTTATTCCGTGGGAGGAGCCTGTTTCCCTTTGGCGTGACATTTGACAATTAAAATTGAGATGGGGGCTCAAGTCTGTGGAGGACAAAGCATAGTCCAGTTCTCTTTGGGGCACTGATTCAATATAGGATGACAGGAATGTGCTGACTTAGCACAGGGACTTTCTGCGCAAGGGGCAACTGCTATGCTAGCAACTTCTGTGCTGGGCGGGGGGTGGGCAGGAGTACTAGCAGGCCCCCCCACCCTTACTTGGCTGTGACTGTGGGATTCCTGCCCACGCTCCCTCCCCCTGCCCTGTTTTTCCGCTTTCCCCTATGGGAGCCTGAAATTGAATCAAATGGTTTCTCATAGTCGCTGGGTATACATCATTATATTTCAAAAGACTGTTGTCTTCTGAGAGTCTGAGTCAAAATATTTAGGGACTCAACCTGCAATCCTGTCTTCTGCAAACACGGAGGTACGCGGTGTGTGTTCAGTTCTGTTTTGTGCACGAAAATCTTTCTCCTCTGTCTTTGCAGGCAAGGGAAAGTACTGGCCGCGGTTATTCTATTCAATTACTCCCAGAGCTGTTGCCGTTGTAATGATATTACAACTTAGCCCGCTCAAAATAACTTTTATTTTATCTTATTTAAAAAAAATGCAGTCTGTAAGGGTGCCTGGTGGCTCAGTCGGTTAAGTGTCTGACTCTTGATTTTGGCTCAGGTCATGATCTCAGGGTTTTTCTCTATCTCTGCCTATGCCACCCCCTGTCCCCCACCCCCTGCCTAAAATAAAAACAAAACACACAGAAGAACCAAAACTGTAAACATGGGACTCCTGGGTGGCTCAGTGGTTGAGCGTCTGCCTTCGGCTCAGGGCATGATCTCAGGGTCTCGGGATTGAGTCCCGCATCGGGCTCCTGGCAGGGAGCCTGCTTCTCCCTCTGCCTGTGTCTCTGCCTCTCTCTCTGTCTCTCGTGAATAAATAAATAAAATCTTAAAAAACAAAAACAACAGAAAACCCAAAAATATAAACCTTATAGTCTGATCTGGGGTAAGCTCAGACTATTTCCAAACTCCATTTTATTGATTCCCTTATTACAATTTATTTTATTTTATTATTTTAATAGCCAGGAAATTGAAGCTAAATAGTGGAAGGTATATTGTGTAAGGGATGTCTGTCATAAGCCCTGCTCAGTAAAGAAAGAGTTTTCTTGGTCCTTCGAAGTCCCTTTCAAGAACATTTTGTAAGTTTAGCCGATTTATCTTTGTAGCATTTGTACTTGAATATTTACATAATTGCTTCAAAGGTGGTCAAAATGATAATGAGAGGTGAGGTCGGGAACAAATGAGAAGTTTAAACACACTGCAATCTTTATTGGATATGAAAAGTCAAAGGCTTGGAAAAAGCAGATATGAATGTTGGAGTAATTGGAAGCCTACAGTACCACAGGGAAGATACAGCACGGGGCAGTGCTCAGAATAGTCTAGACAGACTGCCTGGGTTCAAATCCCACATTTACCACTTTGTAACTATTCGCCTTTGAACAAGCTACTTGCATTCCTTAGACCTCTGTTTCTTCACCAGTAAAATGGGGATAATGGCAATACCTTCTTCATAAGGTTTCTATGAGGAATACATACACAAGTGTGAAGTGCATGTCTGGTGCACAGTAAGTGTTCAATCATTGAAAAGCTATTATTGTTATTATTATTGAAATGTAGAAGACCTTATCAGTGACTTCACAATTAATCTCTGATTCTCTTTCCTGGATCAAGTGAAAAATACCTCAAATAGTGATCTTTATAATATTTTCAAAAGGAAAAATATCAGGGGTGCCTGGGTGGTTCAGTGGATTAAGCATCTGCCTTTGGCTCAGGTCATGATCCCAGGGTCCTGGCATCGAGCCTCTGCATTGGGCTCCCTGCTCAGTGGGGAATCTGCTTCTCCCTCTCCCTCTGCCTCCTGCTCCCTCTGCTTGTGTTCTCTCTCCCTCTGTCAAATAAATAAATAAATAAATAAATAAATAAATAGATAGATAAATAAATAAATAAATAAAATCTTTTTTTTTAAAGGAAAGATATCAATGAAAAAAAATGTCTGAAATTATCCAGAGTATCCCCATTTTCTTTTTCTTTCTTTTATTTCTTTCCTCAAGATTTTAAGTAATCTCTACACCCAATGTGGGGTACAAACCTCACAACCCTGAGATCAAGGGTCACATGTTCCACTGACTAAGCCAGCCAGATGCCCCAACACTCTCTTCTAAGGTCTGTGATACTACAGGTCTGTAGTACTTAATATACTGCCCTTTGTTGGCATTGTACAGAAGGATTTCCTCTAGCATGGATAGAATATATTTCTTGCCATTTAAGGAAACATGGGTGATGGGAAATTAAACTGAGAGATTAATGGGAAAAATGGAAGAATTTTGTGTGATTTAGGCAAATAATTTAGGGAAATGGGATTAACTGGAATGTGAGATCCAATTTTTGCTCTACTGAGCATGAGTGGGGAGGGGCAGAGGGAGAAGGAAAGCCAGAATCGCAAGCAGGCTCGACACTCAGCACAGAGCCAATGCAGGGCTCGATCCCACGACTCCCACGACGATCATGACCTGAGGCAAAAATCAAGATATTTAACAGACTGAGCCATCTAGGTGCCCTTAGTTTTTACTTTAATCTTGGGTATAATCTTGGGTAATTTACTAAATCTCATTGACACTTGGTTTTTTTCATCTTTGGAAATGAAAACCATGATAATGGTTACCCCGTTTAATAAAGATTAAGTGATTGAGAGTAAGATTTAGAAATTATAAAGCCCCATATATGTACTCATAGTTGAAAATTATTCTAATCCATGCATTTCTCCTCTACCTTTCTGACCCATGGCCATGGTTCATAAGGGAAGAAGGAATATAGGCTATGATTGCCATCTGTTCACAGATGAACTTCATATCTCCAGATTGGAGTGTTTCTTGCATTTACTCATCCATTCACTCCATCCATCCATCCATCCATCCATCCATCCATCCACCAATGCTTTTACTGAATACTAGCCATGTGCTATAACTATGCTATGCATAAAGCTTTCAAAAATCAGTGCCATGGTTTCTCAGAGGTTTCTATGTACGGGGTAAACTCAACTCAGCTTTCTAGAGTTCTCAATGTCTCCTTAAACCTGAGGAATGAAGAGGTAGAAAAATGAAAAAAAAAATAGTAAGAGTTATTCAGGTGACATATTGTTTTGGGCATTTTCCAAGCAGGATAATTATCTAAAATCAGGCTGACATTTATATCTCTAGCTTCCCATGCTTGTTAAAATACTTTTCTTGCTGAAATACTCATTGAGCTAAATTTCATCTAACATCTGGCCATTGTATAAATATAGCAATGAAAACATGTCTTGTTGCCTACTCATTAGGTATAAATTTTAGAAATCCAATTAGTGTTTTATACTTTCTGTGCATGTTTTCTTTGATTTTGCTTTAATGTTTGGTTTGAGCTAATTTCAGTCTCCTAAATGGAACTATAAGAATTCACATATTTAGCACACATCTACACAATAGCAAAAACCAACTGGATTGAGGTATTGTGCTTTGTAGTATTTCCTAATGATTGTGAAGTATTCCTTAAGTTCTTTATTCATTCATGTAATGAGCACATATTGAGCAAGATGTCAAGCCTTGGTGCTCAATGCTGAGGAAGGGGGGGGGGATACAGAATAAATGAAATACCATCTTAGCCCTTAAGGAGTTTAGAACCTAGTAGGGGAGACAGATACCTATGCAAACTATTTCACTACAATGTGAAATACTACTATTGCTATATTGGCTAATCCTGACACATGCTGTAAGAGAGGTACATATCCATTGGGTTCTGAAGGCACCATTCACTACTCATCCGATGTACACACTACACATACAAAAATGATGATCCTCAATTCTCCCCTAGGGAGCCTATAACCTCTCAAAATTGAGGAGCCCCTCAAACTAAGAACCCAAGGGAGTGTCCCAGTACTCATGGTGTCTACATTATCCATCTGGGTTGCTAGAATCTGCCAAATGCCCTGAGGATGGATCATCTATTTAGCAATACCAGCCTCACCTGAGTCACAGTTGTTAAGGTCTTCACTTTTAGACTCCCTGGAATGACAGCTGATCTTCAATGGCCTATTCTGCATGGATGTGAACGTTTAGAAGTAAGCCCACTAAACACAATTTTCACTGTGTACATCAGGGCCCACTATAATGTATACTCTGCAGCCTTTTGAAACCTGCCTTTCATTATATAGATCCCACCACCGTTTCATTTGGTGTTCATTATACTCAAATAGCTAAGTCTTTGGGTCATTCTAAAGGATGCTCTTAAGATCTAACTTGGAAAAACTGTGAATGAATTTTCAAACATTATCAAATGCATTGCCTACCTTTTAAACAGTAAAAGTTTATTTGCACAGATTTAGTAATATGAGATACAACATAATTCATGGAAATCAACCACAATGCTGATACTTAATAGATTATTCCAAATATTAGACATTACAGTTTAAATCTCAACATTAGCTCTGACGTTGGAGTAACATTTTCAGTTAATAAATAATTGTGAATATGACCATATGTTCAGTTTATTCTCATCAGTTTATCATGAATTACAATTGTGATTTGGGTCATAAAAGTGATAAACAATTATATTTTCATAAACTGCCTGTTTAATTAATCCTGAAGAGAATCTAAAAATATATTCTCATGGGTTATATAAATTAGGTGTATTTTTTAGCTCTTGGATTTTACCTTGCATGGGTAACACTATAACTGCTTTCACAGGATATGGTCATTTCCAAAAAGTGAGTGGCCCCAGGTTTTGAGCACTGAATTAAATGTCTTCTATGTATTTCAGAGAACTATGAATTTCAAAAGTTAACTGTTATTTTGGGGTGATCTATAAAGTATTACCCTACCAATGCAAACACAAAATTGGTGGTAAAGAAAGTGAGTTTAGTTCATTACACTTTCCAGATAGTAGTCACATCTTCCTAATAATTTTGGTGCCAAAAACATATTAAGAAAGACAGAATTATTTCAGGTATAAGATATTCTGCATTTGCACATTCTATAGGGCTTATAATGAGAAGTTATATCAGGCTTATATTGTCTGATAAGGCTCTTTTTTTGAGCTCCTACTGTCACGAAGGCAATTTGTCAAACGTTCATGACACATGGGGATAGTAGCAACATGCTGCAACAAAGGGCCTCACCAGGATTAATTTTAGTGTTTGAATTTGCTATTCGATTTTCGAATTTTTCTGCTCTTTATTGAATTTAAACCAGTAAGTAAGTTGCCTGGCTTCTTGCCCTAAGAAGAATATTTTGTCCTATTTGGAATCAGACCTCTAATAATCAGATAGTTTAATGCCAATATATATGTTATTCGAATATTTGTAATCCCTTTGTAACATTTTCGAGACTGAGCGACAGCTAGTACCTATTAACTGCATTAGAAAAGTCAGAAAGGGTAAGAATTTATGAAAAGCATTAAATGGTAGAAACAAAGTGTAGGGATCTTACAGTTAGGCAACAATTTGGGTACCAGAAAATATTTCCTTCCAGTGTAAAAGTTTAGGACTCTGAAAAAAATGCCAACTGCAACAATGAAAAAATATATTCAAATTCTGGTCCCCCAAAGTTTAAGAAAGCCCCCAAACCTAAAAATGACTCTTACTCTTTGCACTTCTTTTGACAAACTATATACATTTTCATTGTAGGGACCATCTTAAGTTTTGGGGCGCTTGTATTTTTCCATAGGGAAGAGATGGTTGGCATTGCTTCCTGGCTGGGTATAATTCATTTATGTCCTTCCAGTTTTTTCTCTCTGATCTCTTTTCTGTATATCTGTCAGCAGCACTCTCCTGGGAGCAGCACGATGCACTTCATTAATAAGAAGGGATTAAAGGAAAAAGCCCTCGTCTCCTAATACACTTGGATAATTTGGTGCCATCCACAAGGCAATAGACCCCTGCTGCATAGATGTCATTAGAAAGGTACAATTTCATTACTTTTTACTGGCAGAGCCTTGAGTGAAATACAAAATATGTTGTCTCATATGCAGGGGAAAAAAAGTGCCAAAGCTTTCATTCACTTCATGCTTCTAAAATAGTAGAATGCAAAAATATATTTTATGGTTTTTACATTTATATTGCCTTCCCTTAGTAGTCCTTGAAGTCAAGCTTTTATTAAACACTGAGCAAAATCAAGATTAAAAAGGAAATTATTTACATTCTTAAATCCTAAATGAAATTCATATTTTTAGTAACTAACACATACCTACTAAGTGTCAGGCACTCTCCTAGTTGCTGGAAAACAAATTATAAAACATAATTCATGCCCTTTTTTAAGTATTAACATATTAAATACTTTAACTCAAAGTGAGTATGAAAGTGAGCATGTAAGAAGTAAACCATATGGCTGAATAAAAGAGATTGTAAGCCAGTAAATTGTAATTGTATTTGAAAAATCTGTTTAACTTTTCCTCGTTAACCTAACATTTGAGCTGACTTGTTTGCTGCTGGTTGATAGCATTATCTTTTAGGCTGACCCCCGCCCCCCCATGTTAAGCCTTTAGTGGTATATTGTGCAAATGTTTGAAAACACAGGCATAAACCATCATTAGAATCTCACCCTACTTCCTATAGATGCTGCCCCAAACAGGAAATGATGGGTCTCACTGGTGGAGAATGTGGCTCACCAGACATCTGAGCAAGGGGCCTGAAATTTAGCAATCTGCCGTAAAAACCATCAGTGACACTTCCAGGCGCTGCCCTGGTGTGATGACTCCCTGGGAACCATGCACGTCACTTTCCTAGCACCGAAGAGAATCAGGTTTAACAGTGGTCCATTATCTCACTGCCACAGACATACACCTACCACTAACACTAAAAAGTGGCACACAGTTGGAACCATGCATGGGAGAAGAAAGCCCTTGATTATCAGCTTATTTTCAAGCCATTCTTTGCAGTGATGGGTTTTTGCTTCACTACCAGCTTTTGTTCAGTCAAATTGACACTTGCAGCTCCTTGTCTAAGATAAAGTCTAGCCTAGATGGTTAATATGATAGAGACTGGTTTCCAGAGACCATTCTACCAAACTAAGGCACAGCAGTACAGGAAATGCAAAATATCTTGACAAAAAAATGAGTCAGTAATGAAAGTACTTAAAAGCTGCGTTGGGCTACTGTGTAGATTATCTCTGTAAATCGAAGATTGGTTATCCAATCAACATTGAATTCTGAGTGTTCTGATGTCCTCACCCTTTTACCCTGTAACCATGGCCTTCCTTGTCTCTCATGCATTTTAATTCACTAAAGTATCATCATACGTTACACTGAAGATTATCAACAAATCTCATGAGAAGTGAGAGAGCAGCAGAAATGGGGACTGGACAGGGCCACTTTACACCTTCCAGAGTGAGTGGAGTTTCATAACAAATAGTGAGGATTCGGCTAGTCATGTTCTTGTCAAAAAGAAATCTCAGCTAATGTTTTAAATATAGATAACCAAGTCACAAACAAACACCCCCCCCAGTTTTGCCAATAAATTAAAAATATAAGCAAAATGGTTAAGTGGTTAAAAGCTTAGACTGTTAACCTCATGGGGTGTATTTGAGGATGTGCACTGAAAACAGATCAATGGTTTGATTCCAGAATATAGATTTCCTCTTTCCCTATGATTTTTTATAATGGTAATTTTTCTTCCATTCCACAGTAAGACCTTATGAGACTGTTTGTCCTGTTTTGTCATAATGTGTGTTTCTTAGGATTTGGCTGTTTTATTAGATGGAACCAATAAATATACAGGGTTTCTGAACATTCTTCAAATTTCTGGGCTTTAGGTCCACAATACCTTGGGCACTGAGGAAGAGGAAGGAATATTATGAATTGGAGTTCCGGATGAAAGTTGGGTATTTGAAATATAAATGGAAACCGTTCACAATATTGACCCTTATCAATATTCTCTTGCCGAGGTAGTTTATAATAAGGGACTGCCCATAAAAGAGCTGGTTATAGTTCTCTCTTGAATGTGCATGACTCTGGAACATACTGTCCCTTGCCATTGAAAAACTTGACTCTGGAATAAATAAAATGAGAAATGGCAATCCCAGAGTCCTGGCCGAGGAGGAATAAGCTGATAGGTATGTCTATTAAGTTCTGTCAGGCAAGACTTAACCAAATCCTGATACACATTTTTAAATTGATTATTCATAAATGGTGACAATGAACTAGATTCCTATTTGCTTTGGGGACACTTTAAGAAGACTTCTTTTTTAGATTTGGAATTCAAAATAGGTTTCTTCCATTCCTCCCTGGTAGAACAAAGAAATAGTTCTTGTCTAGACTGAATAATAAGACATGAAAAAACAACCCTGCGCGTGTCTAATTTATAACAAATCTGTTTCCTTAATGGGTGGAAGGAAATCTGAGGACAGTTCTGAGGGGTCCTGTCTGTTTTCAGTGCCACCTTCTAGTCATACCGACGACAACACCTCGCCTGATGGATCCTTCCCCTTCTTCTCCTCGCCCCGGTCAATGTCAATCACATGCACCACTCCAGGTTTTAGGATCAAGTCCTCAGTCTCCACCTGACTCCTGTTGTCCTCCACTTCCATGTAGCTCCGCTTTGTTTGCTGGGTAGCTTTGCTGAAGGCTTCTTTCAAACGACGTTTGAGTTCAACATCTGGACAGAAGACATACTCGTAAAGGCCACCAGCGAGGACAGCTCCTATGATCGGTCCAACCCAATATATCTGGGGGAAAAGATGGGAGAATTATAGAGTGAAAGTGGAGGAGAGCTATTCCTTTGACCAATTCATGAATATAGAGCTTAGCTGGTTTACATTAAGAGAGCAAATGTGTTGTGCAGAAGATAGCAGGATTGAAAAGAATAAAAGAACATATACCATATGCATGTCAGAGATCCATAAATTGCTAAATAACATTTGAACAGAAAACAGGGAAAGACAATTTTCTCTTTTCTTGCTTCCATTAATTATTTTCTTTTTATTTTCTGATAATCCTTAAAGTCAAGTGAGCTCCTTGTTGATGGTACTGCACATTAAGTGCACTGAGAATTCTTCAACTAAAATAGAAAAAAATTTTCTGGAGACCACTTACCTTATTTTCTTAATATCGCCATCTTATGTTGGTTTTCTACATAATCGCGATCAACATACAGATTTTTTTTCAGTTGAGCCTTAGTTATTCAGCAGAGCACGAAAAATGGAATCCTAGCTCCACCACTGAGCAATTTGGTGAGTTCTTAAATCAGTTACTTAACTTCTTCTTTCTTCTATTATTTTTTTAATATTTTATTTATTCATTTGAGAGAGAGAGAGAGAGAGTACGAGCACGGGGGTGCGGTGGGCAGAAGGACAAGCAGACTCCCCACTGAGCAGGAAGCCTGATGGGGGTCTCCATCTCAGGACTCCTGGGATCATGACCTGAGCTGAAGGCAGACACTTAACCAACTGAGCCACCCAGGTGCCCCAGTTACTTAACTTCTTAAACCTTAATTTCCTCATCTGCAAAGTGAGGATTATAGTAACACATATCTCATGGGTTGTAAAAATTAAGTTGAAATAATACTTGAGAAGTATTTATTAGTTCTAATTTCATAGTGGTCAGCTCATTCCATGTTTCCTAGACAATTTAAAATTGTATGCGAGTAGGCTGGCCATCAGTCATTTTCTGTATGTTACACGCTTTTCTTCCTTAAAATCTGGCGATTTGATTTAATTGAAAATGTCATGGTTTGTTCATTACTCTTCTGGCAGAGCACTTTCATCCTAACAGTTCTAACCATGGTCACTTGATGGAAAATAAACCAGTACTGAGTTTATGAAATGATGGTTAGTTGAAGACTAGCAACTCCATAGGATTTTTAATTCAACAAATGGAAGCTTCTTATCATATTGTTATTGTGTCTAGAATAAACTAAATCTTCAGTTTCAGGAAACTTCAATGCTTGCTTGGAGCACATATATGCAGCAGAATATTAGACAGATTCAGTGGAGCAACAGAAACCTTGCTTATTGAGCCAGCTGTACTTAGACTTGTATTAACTCACATAATTCCAACAGCAACCTTTGAGGTAGATATGATTCTTATTCTTATTTTAAGGGTGAGAAAACTGACACCCCGAGAGAGTAAGAAGCTTGCTTAAGACGTCATGCTTAGCAAGTGCCTGAACTGGGATTTCAGGTCTGTGTGATTTCAAACCTCCCTTTTGAACTACTACACTGCTTTCCATGATACTTCACTTTTCTCATTTGAAAAAAATACGAGGCATGCTTCTGGCTTAAGACACTCTTGGGAAATTAATTTCACATAGCATCTTCATTGCAAAGTCTAAAGAAAATTCAAAATTTGAACTGTAGCTGAGCGCATGTACTTAACATGGAAACTACTTGTAGAGTGCTGCAAGAACCAAGCTCCTTATCTTGAATGGAAAGAAACTGTGTGGAGTTGACCTTCTCCATGCCCTTTCAAAGGAGAAATGAGAGCCCTCCTCTAAATGTCTTTGCATTCTGTTCCTTTGATAAGAGCTCATTAGATAGATTCTATTCCCCATGGTAAAACTCCCAAAAGGGAGACAAGGGACTGCTAAGTAATTATAATGCATTCCTAAAACACGTACAAAGAAGACATCTGGCTACATGCTACCCAAAAAGATCAAATCTTTTTGCTCTTCCAAAAGAAAGTCATAATGTACTTTAAAATTACTCTCAAAATTTGTAAAAGTAAATAGTTTTAATTGCTAAAAATACAGATAGAGATTATGAAGATGAAAATTAAAATAATGTCATACTTAGAAAATTCACCATTAATATTTAGATATTATTCTAGTCTATCAGTCTCCATCTGCAAATATGTTGTAAATTAGTTTTAAAATCTATACAACCATTACTACAGAATGGACATTTGTGTTCAATAAGATTAAGTTTGATATAAAACAGCCAAGAAGGGGAATTTAATTCAGTCAACAAGCTAAAAAGTTTCCTACTAATCAAATTCTAGCTAGCCTACTGCAACTAGTAGGTAATTAATAAAAACATATATTTTCATTCACATTTTATTTATTTATTTATTTTTTTCATTCACATTTTAAAGTCCTCATAACTAAAATTAAAAAATTGTTAGTTTTCTAAATTTTGATTACAAAAGTAGTTTGAATTTAATAAAGTTGAACTTACAGTTCTACTTTTACCATAAGCAACTACAAGCTGCCCATTAAAAATTTCCATTCCTGTTAATGTGTCAAATGTGTTGAGATATAAATGGATATATCAGTGGCAAAATGACCAATCTCATGGATGCTATATATTGACATTCTTTTCATAGCTCAGTCTAAAATCTTGCTTTTGAATACTGAGTCTCATTTTTTAATGATAGAAATTACTTTTAAAGACTCGATACTCTTTCCTTAGCAGTGAATGTCTATAGTATTCTTATAATTTGTTCTCATTTGTAATGTACACTATGGCTGAGTGGATGTAACTGGGTCAATAACCAGTGTGTCAATGAGATTAAAACCTAAGTGACATGTTGTTATATTCATGAATTAAAAATAAAAGCTGTAAAATAGCATTCACAGCATATAAATGATAATAAGAGGTAGCCCTACTTGAGGCTGGCTTACATAAGTCTCATATTTTCATTGGTTATTATAAGTTAGTATATGAGTGGCCTTAAAACTGTCACATTATTCATTTAAGGGATTTAAATTCCTTTGTTGTAAGAAACAATTGAAATAAAAGTGATAGCAATATTTAAAAATGGATATCACTACTTTCTGGAAGCACTGCCACCCCATTAATAAGGAGGTTAGCCATGAGACTGGAAAGTGTGCCTCTTCCGAAAGTCACTTGTGTTTCCAGCTCTGTCTATGGTGATAACAGCATAAACGTCTGTACCATTTATTCCTCTCCATCTGCAGTTCAAATGCTTCCAACTTACATACTATTAATTGGGTTCATGCTTTTGTAAACAAAAAAAGATAAATATTTTTGCTATAGGCAGTGCTTGTAAGCATTTCTTTCTTCTTTTTCTTTTTCTTTTTTTGTATATATTTTGTTATTGCTAGGAAGGCTTTACTTTCAATTATTTAAACACCATATTCACCGTACCACCCTGATTATCACTTGGTCCACACAGACAACCTCCATGTAAAATATATTCTGCAGCAGTCTATCAGATATAGTGCCCAGAGCAGTGCTTATTAAAAAAGAAAGACTGTTACTAAAGGCCCCAAACAGATATAAGATGAGACATTTTAAAGTAGATTTGTGCTAGTCTCTCGTTGGTCTTTATAAAAGGTGTAGTAAAGTGGGGAGTCAAGGTTGGGAGGAAGTAAGACACCTCTCGAGGAAAGAAAAAGAAAGAGCTCCATGGGTAATTGTTCTCAACTGTAAGAGGACAGAAACTGTCAACATAATGGTTACCCAGTGGTTTTCCCAATTTCCCATGATAACTGCAGGTCCAAAGGATCTGGCGGGGTTCATGCTGGCACCAGTGTAATTGATCTGTAGGGAAAAAGAAAACAACCTCAGACATTGCTGGAACAGGACTAGTAGCAGGAAGCATTCACTGCAATTTGCTACCATTTGTCAAGTCAGTTAGAGGAACGGTCAAGATGTTAGCAGCCATATCAAGATGCTCATCATAAAGTTAGCAAAATAATCACCTAAAATGGACAGATGTGGCCGGATACTAAAGAACTAGAGCTGTAAAACACAACATTTTTAGGCCAGCTCTAGGGTGAGGATAAATGAAATGAATCAATTATTTAAATGGACTTGCAAACTTACTGCAAATAAATGTCCAATCGCAACAGAAAATCCAATTGCTAAAGCTACTGAACCAGTGACATCAGTCCGTTTGGAGTCACAGCTGGCAAAAATAGTAAACACCAACTGAAATGTGATTATCAACTCCACCAGGAGACCGTGACCAGCGGTAAGATTTCCATGAACCTAAAAAGAGAAAAATGCTCCATCTGAATTGAAGCACAAGTACATTTTCTGTGATAACATATCATTGTGAAAAGCATATTTCATGGCTGGAAAAGACAATGGCTAATTGGAGTCATCTGTTCCACCCCACAAGTGAGACACTCCCCCTGCATCCAAAAAAGGAGGAATAAATTTCCACTCATTTTGGGCCATCACAGATAATTAATTACTCCTACAATGACCAAGCGGGAATTTGTGCTGAATGTCCTTTTCTACAAAGGAAGCAAAATGTGCCAATGCTGCATTTAACTTACAAAGGAGTTTCTGGAGAGTCTTGTAATTTTATAAGGCAATGATTAAATCCTTTAATTAGGTTTAAATTAATTAATATATATTTCAATTAAAATTTAAACTGTGTGTAGTTTTTAAGTCAATCCTGGTGCTGAGCTAACAACTGATATTCCAAATCAGTTAAGAACAAAAGTAGGATCAAATGCCAATTTATTTTTTTAAGTGTAATCCTAGGTATAGATCATTTTAAATCTCATGAACATGACAAGAAACAAAATTGTTTCTTCTGCTAGTGAGCTAACAAATAGTTGCAATAAAAATGCCTTAAGCTAAATATATAGTCTAGTATAGTCACTGGGATAAGAGCGAGAGCAAAAAAGAACACAATTTTTGTGCCACCAAGACTTAATAATATTTAAGTCACTCGATAGCAAACAATGATTATATATGGATACATTCAATGTTGCTGGGATCACTTTTCACCCCTATCAAGAATCATCAGAAATTCTTTGGGAATAAATTAGCAATTTTAGGAAAGTCTCTCAGGCCACCGGGGTATTACTTAGCAGAGTCTGCAAGAAGCCTGGAGTCCCAGTTTGAAAATAAGAGCTAAAGGTGCTACCGTGGTGACCCCCAAGCCCCCCACCACACTGGGAGGTGTGACAAGGTAGAGAATCCCAGCTCCAATGATGGCTCCCAGGCACTGTGCTGTGACGTAGAAGACAGACTTGGCGATGCTAATCTTCCTGGTGCACACCATGGCCACGGTCACAGCAGGGTTGATGTGGCCGCCGCTGATGTGGCCAAAGCACTGCACCATGGTCGCAATGCTGAGTCCAAAGCAAAGAGAGATGAGAACCATGTCGACAGGTAGTGGCTTTTCCGTTCCACCCCAGTTGATGGTGGATCCGAGGCTGAGGAGCACAAAGATGAGCATAGCCAGAAATTCTGCTGTGACTGCCTTCCAGAAAGCTTGAGTCCAGACCCCTCGGAAGGCCACCATGATGCTCTCTCTCTTACACAAAGGTCCGCACTTGCTGAAATGAAAACAAATTGTATCAGTCTACCAAAGCAGGGTTCAAGAATTTGGGTGAAGACTCCAGGCCTGTAGCCTAGCCCGACTACGGGCCCCCTCAAAGGGGGGGAAGGGCCCCCTCAAAGGTTATTTGCATATCAAGAAAGAATGCTTCCAGAAAACCTTCTTAATTAATTAATTGTCTGCTTAATAGTCAAATGGTGATGCTAGTCACCTTTTATTAAATATTTGAAGATCATCCAGTTGCACTGATTTGCCCCTAGAAAGGAAAATGTCTAAATCGAGTTTCTTTCTTTTTTTTTTTCTAAAGATTTTATTTATTAATGAGAGACACAGAGACAGAGAGAGAGAGAGAGAGAGAGAGAGGCAGAGACACAGGTAGAGGGAGAAGCAGGCTCCATGCAGGGAGCCCGACGTGGGACTCAGATTCCAGGTCTCCAGGGTCAGGCCCTGGGCCGAAGGCGGCAAACCGCTGAGCCACCCGGGCTGCCCTAAGTCGAGTTTCTTAAAGAATTAAGAGGGAAATATATTTACCTCAGAGCAAGAGTTAATCCCCTCAGAACTAGTTTTTAAGGTTTTTTTCTTCTTTCTTTCTTTCTTTCTTTCTTTCTTTCTTTCTTTCTTTCTTTCTTTCTTTCTTTTCTTTTCTTTCTTTCCTTCTTTTTTAGTTTTTAAGTTTCCATGTACTTTTAACATGCCATTTATATTTTGAACGTAAAGCAATTAAAAAAAATAGGGAGATCTTTTGCAGTTTTGCACTTCGATGCTCCAAAATTCGCATTCTGGGCATTCTGCAAATGGGTTTGTGGGGCGTGATTCTCCTCTCCCCCAGCAGAGACTGCGGATTTAGGCGGGAGGCCAGCGAGGAGGAGCCCAGGAACGCTGAAGCCCTGAAGGCCGTCTTTGGAGCAGGTAAAGTCGTTCGGGGGAGGGGAGCTCAGGGTGACCGGCAGGGGTGGTGGCAACCGGCGGGGGCCTGGACAGGGACACTCCCTCCTTCTCTCCCGCGGACCTGGACGCGCGGCGCTCGGCAGTGTCAGCCTCCCGCGCGGGTGCCAGGTGGGCAAACCGCAGCCTCGCAGCGCCGGCCCCGCCCTCCCCGCTCCGGCCCCGCCCCCGCCCAGGCCCCGCCCAGGCCCCGCCCCTCCCCGCCCAGGCCCCGCCCCCCCGAGTCCCAGGCGTCCGCGACAGCCGGGCGGGGCAAAGCTGCATCCTGGCCTCCGTTAGGCTTTTGCAGGGCTGGGGCGCAGCCCCTTCGGGTACCTCACCCTCCCTCCACCCGCGAAGCCACCCCTCAGACACGCCTCCCCCAAGGGATCCTGGAGGCGGGTGTCGCGCCCCAGGCACCCCGCCCAGTGCGGGGACCCGCGGCGCGGGGCCGTGGGCAGGGGACAGTGGTCCTGGGAGCAGAAGCCTCCGCGCTGTTCTCCAGCGTCTTCTTGGCGGCCTCCTCCTCCTCCTGCGGGGCCCAGAAAGACGGCGGGCGCGCCTCTTCTGGGGGGCCTTGTGTGTGTGTGTTGGGAAGCGCAGGAGGGTGGGGGGCAGCAGGACAGCCATGGCGAGGAGGCACTTTCTTCCTGCAGTCTGTTTTCCTCTTAGGAAAGGTCTGAGGATCTTTGGAGCTGAGAAGGGATGCGGTTTGAAAGGAGAAGGGATTTAATGCCAGCTGCTCCTTTGGGCAAGAAGTGGCTAGAATTCCCGACATGGAGGGCAATTACTCTAGTTACTCGATTATTCCAGGCACTTGCCCCCTCTCCTTTGCCTGTTACAGTCGTGAGAGCGGAGAGCTGTGGAGAGGCCCTGATCACCAGAGGACTATGAAAACGGTATTTGAACAGATTAGAGTTTTTATAGCTTTCCCCTTGGTATATAAGGAAGAGAACCCCCACCCCCACCCCCACGCCTTGCTGTTCTCAGGAGCCTGGGTTCTGCATGAGCAGTGGGGAAATGCTGTGCCAAAAAGGGCTAGGGGAATGCTCCCTTGACCTTTAGGATCTCAAGTCAGCCTCTGCTTTGATAAGGGACTTTGCTTCACAGTTGGCAGGAGAAACCCACTTTCTGCCTGGGGTGGCTGGGGTGGCTCCAGAAGGGGGACAGCCAGCCCCGACCTAGGTGTCCTCTGCTCGTGAACTCCTCTAAGTGAATCATGTAATTTCAAGAAAGCCCAGCTGGGCGGACAATGACATCATATTCCCCCAGAGGAAGAGAAAATAAAGAGACAAAACAGCACTTGGAATGGGGCAGGGAGGATGCCCTGGGAGAGATACTAAAAATGTCCCAAAGGGGGCGAAACTCAAAGAACTCACAGATTGGAAAAGAAGTTAGGAAGGGGGCTTTCACGCTCACCAGACGTGAAAGGGCCCCTGCAGACGGCAGGGCAAAGGGGCTACCAGAGGTGCTGGTGGTCTGTGGCTGGGGGCAGTGGGAAAAAGAAAAAGGACAAAGCAGGAAGGGAAGGAGGCTGGTGGGCAGGAAGCCTTAGGTTCCTTTTCAGCAGCACAGATCACCAGGAGAGGCAGGTCCTGGCAAAAGGCCGCCTCCTGGCCATACAGGTCTCCCTCACTTTTCCCAGTCCCCCAAGTTCTATCTCCCTGCCTATTCGCGCATGCTTCTCCAGAGACCTAATTTAAGAAACTCAGTTGCTCTTTCAACTTCAAATTTTCATCAGCCAGAGAAATTAAAACAACATCATCATCATCATCATAAAAAACAAACAACCAAACAAACCCCCAAAACCCTAAATAGAGAAATACGCTCCGTAACAGTGCATTTAGCTTTTTTGGAAAGCCTACAGAATCTAATCTCCGTCCAGGGCAGAGCTGAACAGCCTCAGTTAGCTGCGAACCCCAAAGTTCCCAGGCAGCACATACACACCCCTGGTCTTACAAGTGCTCACCTGGGCAGGCACAGGCTGTCATAGCTCCTGTTATTATCGGCAGTGTTCCCTTATGCGTTCACACTCACTGAAAACGGATCAACACTATTTGTTTTGCTTCTTTCGCCCCAGAACAAAGGGGGTTTGTTGATGTGCCCGGGTTGTACTGAACCGGCCACATTACTTTCTAGCTGAACACACAGCCTGATCCACTTCTGGGCAGCTGAACCTCCGGGTGAGTAATTTTTCTGATGAAAAATACTGCAGATAGATTCACCTCCGTAGGGTAATTTCCCTGTGCAGGTGCAGGTCTCCAATATTTGGAGGATTTGGCAACAAAGCATCCTTCTTTTCCTGCTACTTTCTCTATGCTTCTCTTATGAATATGCCCAGTACCCAGATCTAAGAGAATTACCTACCTACCCTCTAGTTCCTTCTAGATTCTATCTGAGACGGCACATCTATTTTGACAAAGGAGTCAAAATTTCATCTTTTGGCCCCGTTCTTTGTCCCCTGAGGGCAAAGAAGGACTTACCCCCACTGCCTTGCTGCGGGTCTGCCACTCATGCCTTCCCCGGCCAGAGTGCAGCTCTCATTGCCTGCCCCCAAGCTCTGGGAGTCAGATTACGGCCACTTGTCTGATTGGGTTTTTGGAGTGTAGGGGTGGAAAGACTCTGCACCATGTGGCAATCGTCAAGTTTTATTTGAACTTGAAATAACTTTTCTCCACCTGATCATAGTAGACACAGGGCATTTCAGGAACACAAAATGTTTGCTTACATTGTATTTCTTTAGCTGGTAATCTTTGAAAATGAGGATTTCCTTAAATTTTATTTGAATTCTTCCCACCACAAAGAATTGCTGAGAGTCTGTCTTGTTCGGTTAGGTGTTGGGGTTGAAATTGGGCACCCATGAGAAAGCAGATCTGTGTTATCCAGCAGTTGAGATAAATTGAGATCTGGGCTGTAGTGCATTTGCTTTTGGGAGGCTGAATATTCAGTGAGTTCTATTTGAAGTTTTTGACCTGAGAAGTGGCATTTTAAGTACAATGGGTAAATCCATTTGTAGCCTGGGCAGCAGTGATTTGAATAATAGGAAAATATGAAAAATAGCAAATAAGACTACTCCGGGGGTGCTCCACTGACTGTTACATTAGTGACAATTATTGAGTAAGAAGTAGCAAATCTAAAAATGTGGAGGTTGGGTGGGGACAAAATTTTTGGAAATCGTAGGTAAATTTAATATCTGCAAACCTAGGGACAAGATTGAGTACATCATTTGTGGGGCCCAGTGTGGAATGAATGCATCACAATTACAATTTTTTGCTTTCTTATCTTGTTTAGAGACGTGAGATTTGGGAATGGCTGAAAAGCTATTAGAAAGAGGACTTAAAATTTTGAGTGTGAATTTCAGAAGAGCATTTTATTATTGTCTCAAGCATTCTCAAATAATGAAGATTAAATTTACATCTTTAAGAATGTGGTTGCACACTAATGGTTGTCTATCAGAGGGTTTGGCTTTCGTAAAATGTGCTCCCTGAAGGTAGGAATAAATTCTGATGGGATGGGGGAAGAGGGCATTTATGTGAATCTACAAAGAACACTCAAACCTTTTAGTGTGGATTCTTAAAGCTGTTTACCACTCACATTTTACAGTGTGATTTAAACAAATGAATCACAAAAAGTTTTTAAAAATTTGAAAACTTTGATTTTCTAGACAGATGTGCTGATTGCTCTGACCCCAAGACCGTTGAGTCAGAAGGTACTGTGAGGTCTATGAATCCAAGGAAGGATGAGTCCTTCCTGCAGTGCTGAGGTCCTTCCTTGTGAATGAAACCTCTGATCTTTTCCACAGGAACCCACAATGAGTGGTGCTCCCTCAGGGCTGCTGGTTGTTGAGAGGACATTTTTCAGGTCCTCTCTTTGCAGGTTGCCCTAGGCTCATTAGCATTCACTCTCTGGCCTTGGCAAGTTCCCGTCACCATTTTACAAAGTGCCAGCGAAACTTGGTTACCAGGGTTTCTCAGACTCTTTCTCTTTCTTCTGGCTGGCTGATCACTACCCTGGTAGCATATGTTGACAGTTCCTAAGGGATGGCTATTCCCATCAAGGGAAGGGACCAATTGGCACCAATTGGCACACTTATTAGTACTCTGGGCAGAGTGGTTTACAATTGACCAAGGATTAACCCTTCACCTACTGGTGGTAGTTTTTCTTATTAGGTATTAATTATTGTCTTTTTTTTATATTTGAGGAAGTATTATCAATTCTCCTGAAACACTTTCAACCTTGCCCTATAATTAGCTGCTTGCTTGACTTTTCTTTGGACTAAGGACAGAGTTTCCGATAGAATTGTCTGGGGTGATGCATGCAGGATAAAGATGGAAGAAAGCAGCTTCAGTGCGTTTGTGAGGATGGTGTGGGCAATATGGGCTGGGAGCAATGCTGAATATAAGTAACAGCTTCTAAGTTGATCAGTTTTGAACCGGCCTGGGCCCAGGGTCAAATGAGATTTGGAATCTTAAATTTTTTTCCCCCATTGGTAACTTGAAAAGGGCCTAATTCACTTAACAATGGAACACCAATTTACTGATTAAATCTTCTTGACTTTTTCTTTTAAAGATTCTATTTATTTATTCATAAAAGACATACAGAGAGAGGCAGAGACATAGGCAGAGGGAGAAGCAGGCTCCCTGCAGGGAGCCCCATGTGGGACTCGATCACTGGGATCATAACCTGATCCAAAGGCAGATGCTCAACCACTGAGCCACCCAGGTGCCCCTCTTCTTGACTTTCATATTGTATAGTGCTATGATCTTTGGGGTTATGGTAACATGGCACATTGATTTAAGATCAGTGTTCTAGGAGAAAAATGAGAGAAGAGTAAATGAAAAATTCAAGGGTACTCAGCAAAACTCAGCTGATTGACACACTTTGCTTCCAAATTTTCAATGTAGCACACCACACTGTTTTCTTTTGGTGCTGATGTATATCTTTGGGGTTTGTGGACTCTTTCTCTCACCCTTGCCCTTGGAACTTTTAATATTTCTTCACGTATTCAGAGATTGAAGACTAACACAAAAGCACTAAAAATGCCAGCAGTGCCTCAGTACCAGACGGGAAGTGTCTCCAGGCTGATAGGGGCAGATTCAATCGCAAGTCATAAATCTTACTTTGCTTTTCATGAATCTCAGCATCATGAAATCCCCCAGAGCACTTATATATCAGTATGTTCATTAAAAACAAACAAATAAACAGAATAACAGCGGCAGCCACAACCACAACCCCCACAACAAAGGGCTTTAATAGAGCTTTGTTCCCTTTTCAAAGAGATGTTGCCTTACTGTTAGAATTCAGAGTGGTTTCCAGAGATATAGTTCATCACCAAAAGAGTGAAGTAAAAATAATAAAAAAAACCAGCAAGGAGCCAAAATGCTCGCCTTTGTCTCCCATTTCTCAGTTAGGTGAATCTGAGAGGACTGAGGTCTTTCCATTGGAAGTGGAAACTTTCAGAGATCATCTCTGGCCCTGCCCTTGTGCCCCCACAGATCCAGGTTTTCCCGTTTGGTACAGCAGGCACATTTTCCTTGATTCAGATCCAGGCGGACTCTGCTTTGGCTGGGGAGTTGTACTCTGCTGACATTTAAGGCAGGAATTCCCTGGGAAAATAGTCAAGAGATTCTTTTGGTGCTGCTGGCAGGGCTCCAAAGGGTTTAGGGTTCTCCTCTCTAGACGAATGGGGAGGGAGGCAAAGAGAAACAGAAGGACTTTATTGAGTGACTGTATTTCATCTGAAGCTTGCACAAAAAAGCAGAAATGTGGTTGGATGACTGGATACTTTTCTTACCCCTTATCTCTTGCCCAGCTATTGTGACAGTTTGGAGTTTGGTTGGGCATTTTAAAGGCCACTTGGACATCCACAGTGGAAAATCAGCTCTCCGGGGAAGCAAAGGACTTTGGGATCTAATGGGTCATAGCAAAATGTTTTAAATGATCAATCATTGAAGTGCAGTCTGTACAAATAATTGTTCCAACATTTAAATTAAATGTGAACAGATGAGGAGGTAAACCAATGTTTTGGTGATTATTATCACTTGTTATCATACAGGAAAGCTCAGAATCCTCATGTTTTTAATAGATTAACCAAGATATTCCAAGTTTCAAACAAAGAGCAAGATGTTTAAAATTCTGTGCACAAAGGAGCTGTAATGGGGGGAGTAGACCAAAAAACTAGGCACTTAAAAAATACTTTGGAGTAATGCTAGAAACAGAACATTTTCTAACAAAGGAGCAGAAATGATCATCATCTGTGACCACAAAAAAGTGACTGACTCTCCTAGAACTACCCTTGGATGAGATTTTTACTAAAAACTTGCTCTTGCTACTTTGCTAAATCATCATAGGTCTCTCTCTTTGAACTCCTTAATTCTCTTTTTTAACCTTCGACAACCAGAAGAAATGTACATCTGAAGAAAATCCCAGGGCCTCTTAGAGGTGGCAAGTCTCCTCATGGTTTCATCTTCCCCAAATGTTCTCTCGAGCTACAGCTCAGTCTGTGTGCCTGCCATGGGAGGCTACACTGTGGCCACAGTTTGCCGGTTCCTACCTCTAAGGAGCCAGCTCAGGTGCTTCATGCATGTCCAACCCCCTTTCCTTCTGCCCTTGCCACACAACCCTCTGATTCTTTTTAAAACCCTCCTCAACATTTATCTACTCCCTGAAACATGCCTATTGCAGACTTGCTGAGCTCTAGTCACTTGACAGAGCCCAGAGCAACTGTAAACCTCTGTGATGCTCTACAGTCATGACTAGGTAATGTCTTTGTCTCGTTTACTGGTGTTTTGGTGGTAGTTTACTGTTTGTTTCTTTCTTTTTGGGTCTAAACTGAAGTTGTGGCATATATATGTTCTGTTTAATTCCTTACTGTAACGATGGTGATGATAATGATGGTGATGATGATGATCATGAAGTGACAGCAACAATTTTGGTGTGATTTGGTGATTGTGCAGGAAGAGGGGAAGGAGTAAGAGTTGGCAGTTTGGACTCTTATCACTTCACTGTTCTTGGCTCTGGGCCACTCGATGTCCCTGAACTGCTTGTTCATGTCTGAAAAGGAATGGAGCATTTCTCTGTCCTGTCTTTTGGCAACAGTATGGTAAATCCAGATGCCTTTCTCACCCTATACTGGTTTTGGACCACCTCTACCATGGTGTGCCTCTATAGCATTTTGCTTCCCCAGATTCCATCACAGAATTAGTCCCAGCATGCTGGAATCACCTGTTTATTGTCTACCTCCATCATTAGTCTGGAGTCAGACTGAGAGCAGGGAATACTCTCTTAGTTGTCTCAATGGCTAGTTAACCTTAGTAATTAATTGTTGTATCCCCAACACCTAGCGTGAATCCAAGACACATTTCAAAAAACATTGCGGGATACATAAGCAGGTGAATGGGGCTCCAGTAAGGTCATATTAGCAGATGTGCTTTACAAACCAAATTAGTCAATGAGAAGTATGATGATGCTGTTGTTTTTGAGAAAAAAAAAAGTCAAGAAACTTATCCAGGCCAATAATCCTTGAAAAAGTCATGTATTCTTAATCTCATTTCCCATTTATAGAATGGAAGT